AGGACAAACCGGTTTGTTCATTAATAATGCTCCACCACTTTTTAAAACAATAAGGTCAGCCAGATACTTACATTTTTGGAAATTCTACTACTGTTTTAACACTGCATGAACACTGAGGAGGAAAGCCAAACTGCCATGTTACACTCAGGTTCCTTTGCTGTTGTAACATAGGAGCCTGATTTAATTCTCCGTGGCAAGGCTTTATCTATGCAGAGCAATAGAAACAACACTAAGACATGTTTAAAGTTATACTCCTCCTTTTTACTTCAATACTTTAGAGTGGCTTACAAAAACAGAATACTAATACTTCAGCATAAATAGTCCAAGATGAATATGAATAAAAGAAAGCCTAATGGAATAAAAATATCTTTAAAAGATGACAGAAAATTGAGAGAAGGGGCCAAAAGCAGACTGTAAGGTAATCTGGGCATGGTAATTGAAAAAGACCATCTGTACTAATATAGCAATTTCAGTTCAGATTGTATGGAAACATATATATGAGTTAAACATATTGTAATTTATGACATTTTACAAACTACTATGTAGAATTCAAAGATATAGCCATGTTAGTCTGTAGAATCAGTATGTAAAGAGATCTTGTAGCACCTTTGAGACTAACTGAAAGAAATTGGCAGCATGAGCTTTCGTAGACATCAGTCTGCTTCCTCAGATGCATTTGAGGAAGCAGACTGAAGTCTACAAAAGCTCATGCCAATTTCTTTCTTTCAGTTAGTCTCAAAGGTGCTACAAGATTTCACTACATACTGAAACTGCTATGTAGTTAACTTAAAGAAAAGTATCTGACTATTTCAAAAGCTCATACCTGCTACTAAATGTGCCCCAAAATGACTGGAGTAGTATGACTATATTTGCTACATGAGGCAACTTCAGGAAAAGATGTTCCTATGTCTTTGGTCACTACATCCATTTCAGGGCAGCAAGTTAATAGGTCTTCTGCTAAAAAGCCTGAAGACAAACAGATATGTTGATAACCCTTAACAAGCTCATCAACAGCACTCCTGACTGATGACAGAATTTCAGGAATGTCTAAGAGGATAGCGACCAGTCCCTGATGTAAAAGCTGCTGATAAAGGCTAGTTTCAAAATTATCCTGATATCTAGAAATTTCCTGACTCACTCACTCAGGGCTATCAAATCAGGAATGTGCATCCCAAGGGGTTTTGTTTAATCATTAGTTAACTAGCTTCTGTCGCAATCTATGACGAGAACAGTAAGTTATTGCTTCACAGAAAGAAAATGAGTTCATACATACCAACAACAACAAAACAATTCATTCCAACACCATTTATCAATATATGAAGCAACACACTAAGTGCAATAAAAGATTCCAAGTTACACATTTCAAAATATTTGGAGGCTTCTCTTCTCTACTGACTACTCTCATCCACATCCAAATGCAATCAGGTAAGAGCAACCTCGACCATGAGTTCACAAAACCATCCCGTTTACAAAACAAAGCTTAGAACTAAAGAGACACAACTAAAACAATTATGAAAACATACATTTGGACTGGCAAGAAGAAAACATGGGCAGAAGTGAAATATTGACAGAGAGGATGAGCTAAATGTCACATCTTGCACAACCACATACACCCTTTTTAACAAATGTCCATGTCAAGAAGGGCACAGAAAGCTCTTATTCAAACTGCTGGAACACTTTTTTAAAAAAAATCCTCCCTGGACCAAGTCACTGAGAGTCCAAATTCTGCCAGAATTATTCCTTTATCCTCCATGTGCTTTCTTGACTTTCTCCCTTCCTGCTGGCAGCTCAGACCCTGCTGCCAGCTTATAAAACATCGTAAAATCACACTCTTACCACTACCCCAGCTTCCCTCAATCAACAACTGTTCCCTTCAAGTTCGTTCCAACTTATAGTGTACCTATCACAGGGATTTCTTGCCAAGATTTGTTCAGGGCGTGGGGGGTTCTTTTTGCCTTTCTCTGAGGCTGAGAAAGTATGACTTGCCCAAGTTCACCCAGTGAGTTTCCATGGCTGAGCAGGGATTTGAACTCTGGCCTCCCAGGGTCCTATTACAAACTCCCATGACATCACACCACACTAGCTCTCTTAGAGCAATAATACCCCATGTCAAACAGTATTTCTTGTCATGTAGATCAATAATACAGGCAAGGAAACACTGTTTGGCATGGTCAAAGGTCATCAAGGCAAAAGGGTGTTTACCACCGAAATAACTACCTGTACAAACAATTCAAAGGTGTGTGGGGAAGGGGGGGGAGGAAGAGGTGGAGCTGAAGGGCAAAGGACTTCCAGGGATTCCTGCTCTCTGAGAGGCAGAATCTAGACATATGTTAGTGTGTTAGTCTGGAAAATCCGTATGCAAAGGGATATTGTAACCCCTTTGAGATGAACTGCAGGTAGACTTGAGCCTACTTGAGCTCCACATGCATCTGAGGAAGTAGCGTCAAGTCTATGAAAGCTCATCCACCAGCTTCTTGTGGCTCAAGTCTACCAAAGCTCATGCTATCAGCCTCTTTCTTTCAGTTAGGCTCAAGTCTACCAAAGTTCATGCTCCCTTTCAGTTAGGCTCAAGCCTATGAACACTCATGCTCCCAGCTTCTTTTTTTCATTTAGGCTCAAGTCTACCAGAGCTCATGCTATCAGCTGTTTCTTTAAGTTAGGGCCTTTGCAGACTGCTAGAAATAGTGCAAATTGAGTC